TTTTTGAGGTCTAGGTGCTCTGTATTCGCAAAAACCATCCGCCTCTCGCATCATGTTGTCAATGCGGAAACCCTCTGCCGCAAGCTCCTGGAAGTGGACGGCCGGCATCACTCTTCTGTGATCTCTTGGTCAGCAGTGTGGTACAAATATTGCGCACAGGACTCGGTCCTTGTCCAACGTATCCGTGGAGGGATAGTTGGAGACCTGTCATGCCAGAACTTCCAGCACGGAGCTAAGGAGCCTTTTCATGACAGACAAGACCGAGACTAGATTGCATTTCGCAGACAAGCTTTCCAAATCCGGGTGCTTCCTTCCCTGCTCGAAAGCCTGTCCAAATCTTAATCCCCAAATACATGTCTCGGAGCCGGTGACCGCTTCCGACCCAGCTCTCAAGGTTTGGTTCAGGATCCAAGGAACCTACCTATAGTCTCCATTGTGGTTCTTTGTTTGGTCTAACCAATATTCTAGTTGGGATCCTACATGTAAGGTAACGGAAAAAAGTAACTACAGTGGAGGCTGTAGGTAGACTTCATAAAGAGTTTCGGGGGCATGAGGGCCGGCACGAGCCACTGCGACTCGCCCAGCGAAAATCCTAACTAGAAAATCCCAAGTGTCCAGCTTTATGCCTGCACACAACAACATCTCGTCAGAAGAGCCCTAACTACTTACTTCCAAAACAGAGAATAGGGTTCAGGGATGTTCAGGGTCTCAACATGAGGCAGGGTGGCCGCGAGGTAAGTGCCAAAAGTCCAGGTACCTGGGTCCTGGCCAATTTCAGGTCGTCTGCTCGAACGTGTTGGAGGTGTAGGGCTTCAGGTAATTCTTGTGCCCCAAAATCGTGGCTGCACAGCTCCGACGACCCTTGAATCAATCCTCTTTTCGCCCTCCCCTGCCGCCCGAGTTGGATCTACTCTGCGGGTTCGCTGGGGGGGAGGGGGCTGCCACGACCAGACAAAGCGAAAGCACCGGGCCAATCCTGCTTTCGCGTGGGTGGGTTCGTCGCCACCATCTCCCACCTTGCCGTCGTGAGTCATCTTGCAGCACGCTGTATGTTGCTCTTGATTCTGTCGCACCTGCTAGCATCGTATCTTCGCAAATGTGCTGCACGATGCTGCACGGTATTGTCTTACCATCACGTGTCCCTGCTGCATTGTGCACTCTCCGCAATGCTGCAGTACTGCTGGAGTGATGCCGGAGCGCGGAGCATGAGCTGTGAACCGATGTGAAGCAAACTGAGCATGATGCCTGTAATAGCCCGGCGGCATGTTAATGTCGTTCACCTGCCGCCAGCTGAAGGGTGAGAACGACTCCACGAAGAAAGCGGCACATGCTCTCCGACATACCGGCACCAGATTTCGCAGAGCAGTTTCGGTCATGCTTAGATTGCATGCTCCTGTTGGAATGCCTTCAGCGTGATCTGCGGAGATCCATCCGGCCTCAACAAAGAAAAGCCAGCTCAAGTCTCAAGAGCGCCAACTAGCTGGGACGTCATGCCGACGCACGTTCATGCAAGCAACTGCTGCGTGAGTCCATGTTTGCTTGCTGATTTTATCACACTGAGTCCCGGACGCGAGCTGGTAAACGCAGATCAAATCCGTCGGAAAGGGATCCGATTCTGAAGGCCAAGCATGGAGAATGCTCATAAAGAAACTGGGGGCAACTGTAGGGGGTCTTTCGCAAAGAGACGAGCGCGAGGTCTCACAAACCCTCTTTTTGAATTCGCTGGTATCAGTGGCAACGAGGGGCCACTCTGGTGCTCAAGATATCTCAAGACCATGCTGCGTTTTGTGTGTGCCTTGGCTGAAATACCTCAGCCCTATCTGAGCCCGCTGCCTGGTAGAGCTACCACGGTGTCGGGGCACACGAAGGTGAAGCCGGTAGTGGCATCGCTGCCTGGGATATGCTTAAGGCTTGGGATTTCGCAGACTTTGTCGATTGCACGGACAGTGAAAGCTGTGACTACCATTGCCGAGGCTGTTGTGTTGGCTCTGGTTTCAATGAACCTTGTTTTTGACAGATACCGGTATGAAGAATTCCCGATTCCACAGCCTAACCGACAAGAACCGTCGGTATCTCAGGGCCGACAGACAATACCGTCAAAATGTCCAAGGTAGCTGCCCTTCACGACGATGCCGGTGTTTGGAGTCAGGGTCGTCACCTCAGCAACGACTCACCCCAAAGACACCGAAAACTCTGACTGATCACGCGACATCCTTCGAGCAGTCTTTTGGCAAGGCTGGATTGTTCGGGCATGGCAGATGTACCTTAGGACGGTACCTGAATGAAGGCTTCTAGCAGACTTGATAGTCATGATGCAGTGCCCTGCCGAACTTCTGAGAAGAGGGCTGTCTGCACAGCAAACTCAATCCGATTGTCCTGGGTCAGGGGTTTAGGGTTTAGGGTCACGGCCATGAAAGTATTCTCGTGAAAGTCTTGTGGTGGCTGTTGCCCCGCCACGACACGGGGAAGCAGCAACAGTCGATTCCCTCCAGCAGGCCTACAAGCAAAAACCAGACCCAAACCCCGGCACTGAAGACTGGGCTTGAGACTCTCCCTGTTGGTACCAAACCCGGTTATCATGCAAAAGCGCAAGTGTACAACGAAGATAGCCGGACTCGCGCAACGACCCGAGTCCAAATGCAAATCGTAAGCCAGAGAACGGGGGGTAAGAATCCCTGAAGGCTGGAAGGGCAAGAGCGTGAGCAATGTGTGCAATGCGAAAAAAAGCAAAGCTAAACTCCGCGACCTAACCGCGCGTGCACAACAAGTCGCAAAACAAGCACAACCGACGCTCTGCCAACGCTCGTCAGGAGCAAAGTATGGTTGATGGCCCTTTTCTGTTTGCCCCAAACCCGGAAGACCAACCCGTGCAAAGAAGGACCGGGAACCGCTCAAAACTATTCCAAAGCAAACTACCGGTATTGGCCCTCAAAGAACTCTCAGAGTAGTACAATACACACACACACATACACATGTGTATATATATATGCATACATTTGTGTGTGTATATACATATATATATATCTATATTTATCGTTAGAAAATATAATATATATATATATATGACTCATAGGAGCCCATGGAGCCCTTACTCCAACATACCCCAGTGGCTTACCGAGGAAGCCAGAGACCTTCCGTCTGGGGAGCGGTCCCCATAGTTCACTAAGTTCGTGCTGGAGTACACCTCCCAAGAAGGGTTTTGGGGGTCTGGGGTCCTCCGAAGAAGGGCATGCATCAATCTAGTTCTCTAGGATGTGGGACTGAAGCTTTTGTTCTGTGTTTCGGACTTTTGGCTTCAGGTAGTAGGTGTCTAGTGGTTCGAATCTTGGGGCTCGGAGGCGTCTGAGCTGGAAGCCTCGATCGTCCGAGCCATCCTACAGCTTCACTAATCGGCATCATCATCACTGCCACTGCAGCCATCACCATCTTACTCATCACCATCAGCAACAGCATCACCAACGTGATCATTTGGATAAGAATTGGGGTGGCCGCGGCAGCCCCCCTCTCTGCTGCAGGTGCTTCAAAGGGCTCCAGACCTCTGCGTTGGTCAGCGCCGCGATGGACGGCGCCTCCACGACATTAGCGAAAAGCCTGCAGCGAGGCGGGACTGATTCACAGTTACAGTCGAGGTTTCGTTCGGTTGCTTGCTTCGCGGTCCAGTTGTTCAAGAATTTCAGCTCTGAACACATCCAGTGTCCACAGTCCGACACCGTGGCTTACTGCAATATGCAGCCTTAGGGTTCTGCTCTGACGTGTTTCCCAAGCCCCCAAGACCTGAGAGTCCGAAACAAAACCGCCAAAATCCCTCAGGAGCGCTCCTGGTGGGAGGAGGACACAGAACTTTCGCATGTTGCTGCTTAGGCTGGTGGCTGATGGAAACGACCGCTTCATGAATCCTGCCTCTGTTGAATGTTGGAGTTCCTGAATCCAAACCTGGGCAGGCACGAAAAGTCAGAAGGGAACAACCCGAAGCAACCTTGCGGCTATGACGACGACAACTACCACTGTGATTGGCGGAGTCCCCGTTGTGTTGGTGGAACAGCTACAGATAGCATTCCTCGGATTGCTTCCCTGCTTTTGGCCTTGACTGAAGTTGGTGTCGACTTGGGCCTCTCGTAGCAAAGAGCACTGTCAGTTTAGGCCCAGAGCTGGTGAATCAGAAATAGGATCGGATGGATGCCATGTGCTTGCTGCTCTCAGCAAGCATGTCCTCCTGCCCCTACCCTGGAATCCAGTGCAGTCCTTAGGTTTTTGTCCCGAACAGCGTGGTAGCATTATGAGGATCTTATGTTAGGAGTGAAGAGAACTGGTTGAGGTAGCTGCGCGCCGCGCGACAACAAGGATCCCCCCCCATCCTGTTATTTGCATGGTGCGATGCGACCTGTAGCTCCTGCTGTGTTGTGGTGCATAGTTGTCGTTAACGTCCAACTGATATTGTTACGACGGATTCGGTGTGCTACAGGTCTCGGGAGGCCGGATTCATCGTAAAATACAATACCCAGGCCACGACTTCCTGTCGAAAACCCTTGCGCTTGAAAGGACCAGTTGACAGGGCCGAAGCATAAGCGCCGTGGTCTCGAATCCCGCCAGCACTCGCATTCCCGAATCCTCCGGAGTCCCGCCAGTACTTCGGGGAAAGCATTCCGGGCCGTGGTCATGAATGATCCTGAGTGCCCCAGTACTTGAGGGAAGGCGTTTTGGCCCTGTCCGGTCTGTTAGCGCAGTGGTTCTGAGTCTTGATGGTGGTCCTCGTGGTAAGTATTCATGGTCGTCGAGGTGCTCTTTCCCTGTTTGGGGATCTATGCTGGCGAATAACTTGTTTGTCAGACGAGTCAGACTGGCAGTGCCCTTGCTGTAGCAAACAAGGCTAGTTTATGCTAGCTTATCCTTCTTGCTAGTATTTTGGTTGGCGTGCGCCGCCCTACCACTGACGGCGTGCCGCCCAACGCTTGGAGTCTGGATGACAATGCTGGTACTTTTGCGACTGCTCAGCATTCCGCTCGATGAAGAAGGCGTTGGCCGACATGACGGGGTTGAAGTTCGGCCTGCAGCTTCACACTGCAAACCCGCCCTCTGCTCAAAATAGTCTGCGCCCTTTGCCAAGCACATCATCGCACTGGTGCGCTGAGATGAAGGCACTTCCACAGTTGCTTGGAAGCCATAGACAGTGTTGCCCGCCAGACTGATTGATTGCCACACCTGGGGAGCTAGAGGGGAAGTGGAACCACTGTCTGCGTGGAGGTGGCTTTGCCGTGCCCCCGGACCCTAAACCCATCACTTGCTGCGTCCGGGTGCCCGACCAACTGGTTGTTGTTCTGCACTTCCGGAATGCCGGGCCAGTCCTGTCCATGCTGTCGTGAAAGTTGTGCCTATTGCGGCCTGTTGGCCCCAGTCCCTGAAACCATGACTTCTGTTCAACCGATCTTCGGACAATGTTTCCTCAAGATTCATTCAGACCGCATCCTGCAAAAGGCCCGTAGCAGCCTCTACTGTCCGTAACCAAGATGGGCACTTCGTAGTGACAAACAATATCACGACAAGCACAACAACCACGCTAGGACGAGCACCGTCATGTCATGTTCGGTCAACACCGCCCGGCACATACCACGTCAGCTATTCGAGCCGTGAAATTGCACGTATTACAAGTACCTGAAACCATCTGAAACCAAATCTGCCCAATTGTGTCGAACTATGGCTGAGCGGTACAAGATCTGCGAAGGTCCAATGGACTCTGAATATGTATGACGAGATGGGCTGGTCATGCCTGAAAAGCGTAGTGACTGGAACCTGGTGCGTTCAGAAGGAGTCCCCAGAATTCTTGCCCAGGAACTGCGATGGTGCCGTTGGATCGTCTGAAGAAGTTGTTCGGATCCGGGTCCCACTTGAAACCTCAGCTGCTCAACTGAGATCGTCTGAGCGTCGACCAGTTTGGGGAGCTCCCGGCAGTTGGCAAGAGTGATTCTCGGCCAAAAGTTGAGAGTTAGCCACATTTAATTCCCAAAACGTTTCACTAGACGCAGGGCTGCTTCGACCCTGCGGCAACAGGCCCACATGGCAACATCAAGCGAAAGTCTTCTCCCCTCAAATTTACGGGAGCGGAAGGTGCCCCACATGCCTCTGGGCTGCGGAAGCCGAGAAGCGAAAAAAAGACTCAGGAGCCGACCCACGGGTGCCGAGATCCGAAGGGAGGTGTCGAGGGCGATCTGCGTGGAGAAAAGCTGTGGGAATGAGAGTCCCCGCGATCCGATGGTGGATGCATCTTTAACTTGCTGCGTTCGGCAAGAAGAAGGACAAGGACACAGCCCTGAGACTGGCACGGGGAATTGAATGGGGTAGAAGATGACCTGGCCGCACCCAGTCTGAAGAGTCTATAGAGCAAATGTATGCAAGTCAGGCAGTTACAGCAGCGTCCGAGTCCCGATTTAGCTTCGTGCTTGCCGCAATAGCATTCCCAAGGCAGAACACGAACAATGCGGAGCATCGTGCCACGCCGCGCCTGCGTGTTGGCGTTTGTCATGGAAGTTGGACGGAGACTCAACACCTGGACCTGGGCAAAGGAAAAGTTACCCTCACTTGATGCTTTTTCGGGCGGCTCAGCCAAGGACCGGAATGTTCTGGCCAATCTCGTTGTACATGCCCCAGGACTTGTGATAGAACCTTGCATGGCTGCATCGTCGAAACTCTGCTGAGATGGTTGAGATGCGCAGGCAAGATCCAACCACACAGGACCAACTTCTCAGGCTTAAAACCTCCAAGCCGCCTAAATGCGCAAAGGCCGCTTGCGCAGGCCCAAACCCGTAAGCTTATAAACATGGAATGGAGCCATTCCACAGACCGGTGCCGTCACAGCATCACCCAAGACTTCACCAGCAAATTTTACAGTGAGGTGGCAGCACCAAAGACTTGGAGCACATGCCAAGATGTTGGCTTTGATACTGTTTCGCGCGCTGCACTCCCCGTTAAAGGTATGTTCTCGTTCTTTTGCTGCATTAGCTCCTTGCAAACCAAGCCTGAACTCGTTCGCTCCGATGCCCGCCCGGCCGCCAAAAGGAAGGGAGGCTTTCATGTTACCTCTACCGCAAACCCAAATTCAGATTGAGACAGGTCGCATTTCTGAATCCAGACAACTAAGAATGATAGAACAGATAGACTCCAGGATAATGCCGGAATTATCGCCAACCATCAGTATTACTTCTCACTCCTCTGACATCGCATCGATCAGCATCTAATCATTATCATGGAACGTTACTGCTCCAAACTGCGACGACGAAGACGACTTCAAAGCTTTAAAAGTGTTAAGACCCGAGGTAGACCCTAAAACCACGCTCTCGAACGCGTGTATACCGGCGCCCACAAGATCCTCTAAGAGTTGCTTCCCAGGTCCCGAGCGATGTCTGTGCTGCGTCTTGGAACTTGTTGAACTTGATGGTGGACTGCGAGCCTGGTATACACTCTCTGAAGCCTTGCAAACGCCCTTCCACTGACAGTACCGTTCACTGTCAGACCTGACGTCTACAGAGTCTACAGTCTATTGCCGCTATGACTAACATCCTGTCTACTTAGCGCATTGCGCGACTACCAACCTTCTCACGAAAGGCTCCGAGAAATTAAAATAGTCACGAACATTGCTATACTTGTTACTAGTTACCTTTCTCACCATGGTCATCAACAAGCAGGCACTACTTGTAGCAACAGCAGCATTGCTTGTCCTGTGGTAATTCATGCAGTAGCTCTTTGTACGGGATTGCGAGAGACACTCGGCAAAAATGCGAGGTACCTTCGAGCGGGTAGCCGTTGCTATCCTGAAGCCAAAGGTACCTGCAAGCACCACGCACTTTCCCTCTGCTGCATCCGATATTTCACATGTCTCCCAGATATAGTGCAATTCTACAACTTGCTCGGAGCAAGCCTGCGGAGCAGCGCCTTTTGCAGCTAAGTTGCCAGTTCTCATGCTGGGTGGTATCGTATGTCGTCGGATGAAGCGCCTTGGACAGCAAGCATCCTCACCGGCAGTCCGCTACCCGCCTCATGCTAGATACAACAGAAGCCTGCATCATAGGCCTGCTCGGAGGGCAGCTTGAGTCATGGCTTGAGCTGATCGAATCACTGACGGGCATTGGGCATCTTACTTTGATCCAAGTTGCTCGAAGCTCATAGCCGTAGTAGAAGGGAGCATCTATAATGCCACCAACCTGCTGACGTGCATGATCTCGACGGAACCATCAGATTCAGCTTTCTGCCACGATGTAATCAATCACCCAACAACGAATCGAAGCACTTAAAACAACAAGTACACCAGCAATGATCGCATGCATACTTGTGCTAGTACTGCCCGTTGCAGGCGGCGAGCTCTGCGTGCCTGCAGCACGGCCCTGTTGTATGTACCCTCGGTGGAGGGATACCTGTCTCACATCTTTTGGGAAGTTGAGGACTTGCAAGACATGCTGCTTGCACCGTGCAGAGGATGATCACAGCCCTCTCTGGCCTTCGCCCTTGGCACGATCCCATGTTCTTCAACCTGGCGCATGTCATGAACAGCTCGAGCCACGTACTTTACCATTCCGGTTCATTGGCCGTACATGTACAAACTGCAAGGAAACATAGAGAACAGCACGCGCTGTCATTCTCTATCTTCGATCGTATCACTATAGCAGACACTAGCAGCCTTGTTGTTGCCGGTGATTCCTAGCAACTGCAGGTGGAGTAGTTAAGGTGGCGGTGGTGACGGCAGCAGTGGTGGCGGTGGTGGCGGCAGACGGCAGTGAAGCTGATGGCGGCGCTGATAGCAGTGATAGCAGCAGTAGCCTAGCTGCAACGGTAGAAGTCGCAGCAGTGTTGATACTTAGTACCAGGAGGAGTAGTAGTATTACTCCTCGTCTTCGTAGTCGTAGTCGAAGCCGCACTGGAAGCAGTAGCAGTATCAGATGGGAGCAGCAGCAGCAGCAGCAGCAGCAGGAGCAATATTGACAGTAGAAGTAGCACTTAGCAGCAGCAGAGGCAGGAGAGCGCAGCAGCATGGGGGTCGAATTGGCGCAGCCCCTGGCAATTTGGAGCACAAGGAGGAGCAGATGCCGATCATGATAATCACAAGCGGCTTGAGGTTTGCCCACATATAGCAGCCGAGTCGAGTACAGGGCCCTTAATATAATATAGTATAATTTCTAATATAATTTAATATAACATAATATGATATAATATGATATAATATGATACAATATGATATAATATGATATAATATGATATAATATATTATAATATGGATAACTGACATCGGGGTCCGGCACGGGCTCGCAAGAGTCTTACCGGCCTGAAAAGCTGAAACTCGAACATGCCCACGAAGGCGTAGTAGCGCCTTGGTGTTGGAAAAGCAATGAAACCTTTCAGAGCCTGGAGGTTCCATGCTTGCACTGCAGGTGCCATGAACAAAAGACAACAAGCATGAGTTCTGCAGCCAATGCTTTCAAACCTTCGCACCTGCAGATGCCTCGCTAAACTGTTGTCTGACGCTTGAGTTGAGAGACTAAGCTCTCTTTGCAGATTCATTCGGGTTGTTAACTCCACCCTGCGACGAATGCACATGTGAGAAGCAGGAGCCATCATCGGCATTTCTTTTGCACTTCTCAGAAAAAAAGGGCCCTCCAGGACTCCAGGACTTCAAGGCCGATGCGCAGAAGCCCCTGAGCCCACCACTCGGGAAGGTCCCGCGCAGTGCAGTTTGGTCCAAAGTCGAAGCCGCTGGGCGAGTCGAAGACCACAAAGCCGTTCTGACCTTGGCTGGGGGCTCACGGGTTGGAGCATAGACCCAAAGAGGGCTGTGCTAGTCCGTCATTCCAACTGCTGTGACTGATATGTGCTGGACCATGTTGTCGTCTTGTTCTTCTGCGGAGAGTTGAAGACGTCTGATGCAGGGAAGCGAGGTGCATTCCAAAGTGGAGCGGTTACAAGGCTGAAGGTTTGCAGCAGGTTTCTTGGTTCACAACGTGCAGCTTGCGGCTTAGAGCACGCAAATTCTGGTTTACTTGAGGGCAAATGCTCCGTGTGATCTGTTCGAGTTTCAGGCGTCGGCAGCACGAGAAAAGGGTTCGTGATCCCAGGCCAACGTTCAGGCAAGGGGCACATCAAATGGGGCTTCACTGATTGACTTAAGCCAGACTTTCCATGGCCCAGCGATGCTGGGCGCCCAGCCAACATACGTCGACGTGCGGAAGAAGATGCGCAGGAAATCCTGTCCACAACTCATGACTTCTGCCGAACCCCGAGAGCGGCTGCTTGGGGAGCCTTGCCGGCGTTTTGCCCCCTATATCCAACGGGACATGGCACTGCTGTGACTCCGTTGCTCGCTGCCGCCCATAACTCTCAGCCGAGATTGCTCACGAGAGCGTAAATATGACAGTACACATATAATATATATATATATACAATATAATGTATATATACACACACATAGCTTACATGCTTAACCATACCTTGACATCCTAACATGCATGCCATTTAGGCTAAAGTCTATCAAAAAGAAACCTAGGTTGCCTTGTCGGCAGCATCCCTCCCCCCCCCCCCGGCCAAAAAAAAG